TCATAAAGAATTTAGGACGGTGGTCATCGGACTGTTATAGACAATATATTCGAACTTCGGAGGATGTTGTCGAAGATGCTTAGTGTAGTTTAGCAACTAGTACAGTTAACAAAATGTGACATTATAAGTGTAGGAAACGTAGAAAAATTGTGTGGAGATAAAACAAGCTCTGAATTATACACACTTTCTGATATGTATCACTTATGATTAACGGATTGTTTCTGAAATTCAGAACTTTAAAACATTATTTTTAGAATACCAGTACCTTGTAAATACTAACCAAATGTATTTATCTATCGCAATTAGTACCACAAGCAAATGAACACCTGTTTCTTACAATATCTATACCATACTTTGGGCTGATGCAGCTGCTTCTCACCTGCATAATTTGGTATATTAATTCGATTCTTGATATGTTTACCAATTCATTTTTCCAAAGCGAGGGATATTGTACATGTACGTTAATCATGCAGCATCATTGTTGACTACTTATGTTATGACAATACTCGAACATTGCATTCTGGTCAAGCCTAGCTATACTTAGGTAGAATTACTCTGCTCTTTACACAAATGCTACCGAACATAGCTAATATAGGCAAACCTATGTTGCCCTCAACCTTCATGAATCAGGTGCTAGTTAGCATGTCTCACGTTAGTGGACATAGCTTATATAGGCAAGATTTTCTTGCCCTCAGCCTTCATGTATCAGGTGCTAGTGAGTATGTTTCATATAAGTTTCATAAAGTTATGGTCGTATATATTGTCAAAATTAAAAGCACATGTTCTGAAAAGCAGAGGAAATTCTGATCGAAGGAAACGAAATACCATTTTTGAAAGAAGGATATGGAGATAACAAACAGTTTTCAGTCTAAAAGTCCATATAACAATACAAAATAAGAGCAGAGCAAACACGGACCCCCGAAACATCAGAGGTGGGATCAGGTGCCATGGAGGAGTGAGCTTACCCTGCCGACCGTTCACACCCGCCTTGTGCTCCTTCTCATGAAGAGGAAATTACGGACACAATCCGTCGTCAATTCAGTTTATAAATAATGGACTAACAATTGGTATGAAAAATGTCAGTCAGCAATTGACTTAATGATAAATTGTATTCCTGACAAGGTCATTGTATCAACCATAGAACTTACGAAATGATGACTTTAAACAAGACTGCTGATATTCTTGTTTCATCAACCTGTTTGTCAATAATTCACCTTGTTTTAGAAATTGTTCATACGTATAGCATGCTCTTGCGTATCGAATCAACTGAGATATGTATATTCCGAATGCAGGTGATGAAGGCGTATTGTTGCATAAGTAAGGGAATTTGACGATAGAAAAGTTAAAGTTATCACGTTTATCATATAGCTTGGTTGTTAGATTACCATAGGTGTCTTTTTCAAGTAAAATTTCCAAGTATGAAACAGAAGTGTCGGACTCTGTGATATCTTTTATCTCAAGCTCACCAGGATATATCGTATTGAGTAGGAATGGAAATTACCATTATTTATTGACAAAACATCGTCGATATATCTAAATGTCGAGTTGAAGGCCACAGCATGTTTTTTTTTTTCTTTGAAAGTAAATTTGCCGTATTTTTTTTGAGTTTTCTTGATAGAATTGCAGAAATGCTAAAAGAAAAAAAAATACTCTAGAATACTCAAATCCTTAAAAATTTAAGACAATTTATTTACATCAATTAAATATTTTCGGTACGATGTTACGTTTGATTTACAGTGCCAACAGAATTCTAGATCTGAGATTCTATAGAAGAGTTAGGAAATCTTTGAATATTTCTTTAAAAAATGCAATGTAATTTCAACTACCAATCAATCGCCAAATGAAATTGTTAAAAACAAATTATTTGTCTTCTTACCCCAATCGTAAAGTCCGGCAAAGGTCTGGGATATAATTGTTTATGTAAGGTGATACCCTAATTAAGTGCTCTAGATGTCATTTAGAATTGAAGGAAGGTACACTTGTTATATATATTGTGTTTCAGATAGAGAGAATCTATATGTTTTGATATTCTGATAAACACAGGTCTTAAAGTGCCAGATTTTTTTTTTATTGTGTCGAACTCATAAAAAATGAATCATTACTGTGTAGGAGGAAATTGAATTGTGTCTTTATAAAGTTCGAGCTTGATCTTCATTATAGTAACATCTATTAATTTAAAAAATAGATGCACTTATTTTATGAGGAAAACTTTGTTGCTGCTATTTGAGTTGGGTTAGCTCCGCCTCGAATAAATTAGATCGGGATCGGGATATCTCAAATTCTCCCTCTTTGCCCTTGATCGAAAAACGAAAGGTACACGAATTTTGTAGCAGACAGAAATTAAAAAAAAATATGCTTTCAATCACGATTGTTTCTAAAATATTTCATAAGATATTATCGGCAAATATCTGATTTGATGATTAGATGCATGGATGGATTATTCTTTTTAGGAAAAGTGCGAGATTGGCTTGGATTGAAATTTTCCGAAATTTTTTATGTCGGCATACATGTGGCGTAATTCGTATTAAAACTGTTCATGTTTTAGTTTTACAAGCAAACATATACCAGATTTTTTAATTGTGTATTTGAATTATTTTTAAATCGTGCATTAATTGAAAAAAAAATCCTATATAAAAAAGGTGGCTTAATAATAGATACATGTAGTTTTCGATTGACCAAGAGTTACTTCCCGTTGGCCGCCATACTGGGGGTCCAAATGCTCATATCCCTTCATTGTTCAACCAATTTAAAATTTTTATATTTGCTATTTTGAATTAGAAATCATTATTTTTCTGAAGTATATAAATTTTAAATTTTTGGAAGCCTCTTTTATTGAAAAAAAAATTATTTGATAAAGATTTTCCAACAAATATTTCTGCTATATTTTCTTAAACTTGGTAAGACAAAGAGGGAAAATCACTTAGTCGACCTCCAATATGGCGGCCAGCGGGAGGTGACTTTCACTAAATTCAGGCCTATCGAAAACTATCTATAGCGGTCAAACTGATCAAAACATTATAATCGGTGTCCATCAATTTTCGCAGGCTATTGAAATAGAGCATTCTCAGTGTATACAACAACGGGATTTTTAAAATGTGCATGAATTTTGTTTAAAACACAAATGGGGGGGGGGGGGGGGGCTCAGAAGCCAAGTTATTAGAGTTCCAGCTTTGATGATTAACAGGGAAACATCAAATATTATAAGTTACATGGGTAATGTTGACCATAAATCAGGCTATATGTTATTATCATTCAATAGAAGCTTCTTTCATATTTGGCTGTAATAATGCCCTCCACAGTAAACAACACAATCAACCAACAGGACAAGCCATTGCTTTATTTCGAGCTTAAAATGCACTCTTGAAATTAAATTCAGTGCTTCTAGAGTGTGAAATAACTAATTGCCACTAAGGTTCCTTTTGGCAATTGCATAAATTTCATCAAATTTATTGCCTATCAAAGGTAGCTCAGTTGCTCATGAAGAGCTATGCTAGTTATTTTTCTTTGTTTATATTAGTCATACAATAAATTTTACAGTATAAGCTGACTCGAGGGTATTCGCTTTAGCATTTTAGGGACATTTTATTCTTGTTCACGCATTCTTCACTTCTAAGGAATTGATAATTTTATTTATCTGGGGTTTGGGAAAATTAGGGAATTAGATTTGTAAATTAAGGAAAATGACAAATTGTTTCTCAATTCATGATAAAGAATACAATATGCTGTATTATATAACCAGTTGCTTAAATTACTAATTCTCTTCTTTTAGCTATGGTAAGTATGTAGGTATTCTGTGTGACCCAGAAATAAGTAACAACTGGATCATGTAATATCAATTATTCTAATTATCTCAACTACTGTCAAGGTTAACTAAATAAAAGCCACTTTAAATGAAAGGGATTGACAATTAACAAAATATACTGGTAAAAATATTGCGGCTTAATACTTGTGTTTACTTGAAAGTGTGTCTGCCTTTTTACACATATCCGAATTTTAAGTTTATCAGTGGATTGCCTGTTTTTAGCTAAAACATTTCTTTACTTAAGTAGTTTTACTTAAAATAATTCATATAAGATATTCTTGATAATTTTATTTTATTGGTTAGAGCTTAAAGTTCATGGAATATTTACATCAGATGAGAATACTAAAACACTTGTTGAAAATATTACTGAAATTAACTTTGGACATACAAATTCATATCACATAAATAGGGGAGAAACATGCAATTTGTTCAGTTGGAGAATGAAAGGGAATTTTATTGCTAGACAATTAGTGTCCGACTCTTAGGTTGGAAATAATGAATTCTTTGGGAAAAGTATAAATTGGATAGGGTGTTGAGTAGAAGAGTGTATTATGCACTTGCTAGGGAGAGCTGCTATGGGGCTATCATGACACAGGAATATAACAGATTTGGGAGTATCTACATGTATTAGTAAGATTTATTTTTGCCAGATCCAGTGTACGAAGGTTTTCTAGTCAAGTACACATAAATATAAACTAATAGTACATGTAGTATGGGTATTTTTATGACTTAACCAAGCAGGCATTTCAACGTTGAATTTTGGTTGCATATGAAAGTTGAGGCAACGTTGAAACATAACGTTGTTTCAACGTCAATTTTCAAGGTTGAATAAACGTTGAAAATTGGTTGAATTTTTGGTTGATTTATGGTTGATTTTTGGTTGCAAATGAAAGTTGATGTAACGTTGAAGCTTCAACGTTGTTTCAACGTCAAATATCAACATTGAACAAAAGTGAACATTGGTTGTAATTAGGTTGAGATTTGGTTGAAATTGTTTGGTTGTACAAACGTTGATATTTGGTTGAAATCACGTTGAATTCATATTACATGTGAACGTTTTACTTTATAAATAAATACATTTCAAATTCTAATAATTTTTTTATTCAAATTGCGCAATATTTATATAAGTTATTATCCAGTATTATGATTGTGAGAGAATTCATTTTAGTTTGTATTTTAAAGACAAACACAAATTTGGATTCAATCAATGAATCTCAAAAATCACTGCTTGACAAATTTATATTCCTAGTGAAAAGGGGGTCACAGTTATCACATCAAGGTTCTTCAAAGTACGCGTCTGTCTTACACTACTAAGTTTCACAAAGTGGCGGATCCATTGATTTTAATCACGCATATACATCTGTAGTTAAGTCCCACGAATGAAAGAAATGAACAGGAGAATCCACCCTCTAGAGCAACAGCCTATTAATAAAAGAAATAAAGATGTGAAAGAAATTTCTTCGATACAACGTACGTAACACGTTATTTCAAACGATAAAAATAAATATACATGAATAATTTAAAAAATCAGACAAAGGAATATTTTCCGGTACTTGGATTTAATTAACATGATTAAAAAGAATTATAGTTAACATCATATTAAGATTTGTATCAGTATGCTTATAAAAAAATATTACTAAAGAAAATGTTATAGACATACATAGACATAGTGTACTTACAAAATATTGCATTCCTTTGTATAATTTTCACGGGCGAAGAATCTGATGCAATCAAGGCTGACTATATACAATCACTTCCCTCACCACTGGTTGATTGAACCATACGATGAACTAAAATTAATTAAATTGTATAATATATTAGTATACTTTTATTTCATAACCAAATGAATATCAACAATACACATAATACACGAACAAAGGATGTGCATTTCACGTATATTTCACATATACTTATAAAACAAGAATTAAATGATGTACAGATACTAAATAAACTTAATTTCCTAAATCCATGAAAAGGAAATAATACTTACTGAGCAGAAGTTGATATTCCAGCCTTATTCCTTTTGTATATATCTTGAAAACACATTAAATATGAACAGCGCGCACTTCTTGCCCATCAGTTGAATTCAAATTTTGACCTAGATAAGCTGCAGCTCTACTCTGCCCAGCAAGAAAATTGCATAACAAGGTTATCCTGACACTGAAACTGACCAACTAAGCGAGAGGCACTCCTTATCTGATATCTCGAAGGTTTTTGGGGAGTGGATCTTAAGTAAAGTTAATTGTCAGTGTGAAAATTGTTATGTGTTTATTTGAATTTTTCTTTTATATATTTTCTGAAAAGAAAGATTATAGAATTAATACACACAACAAAAGCACAATCTGATAAAATAAGACTTCCTAGATTCGCTCTGTATACATTGTAACATTTTGCGCAAGAGTATACGGCACGGATCTATATGAGTCTAATTTTAAGAACATTAATTCGGAATAAATAATTATTTTTATTAATTCTAAAGTAACATGGAATTACAGTGAGATGTTGGATAAAGATGTCATTATTTATTTAATGCTTATATTTAACATATTTTATAAATATGTATTTTAAAAAAAACTACATTCACAATTTATTAAATTTCACAATGGTACTAGCTGAACTGGCACAACTCTTTTGAGTCAATCAATTCATAATGCATGTGTGTCATTTATTATGTATAATTATATATATAATATTTTCTAACAATGCATACAGCCATGTGTATCTTGCGAAAAGTCGCATAAATTAAGAGTTAAAGACACCTTTATATTTTGACCTTAAAAACTAAAATGCTCAATACTCATTACCCGTTCTTTTCTTAACTTTCCTAAAGTTGAAAATATGTTGGATCTTCCACGTTGTTTCAACGTTGAAATCAACAAACAGTCAAATTTGCATTTTTAAACCTTGTATCAATTCTATAATATCAGAAAATACTCAACGTTGAAAACATGTTGAATCTTCAACGTTGTTTCAACATTGCAATATCAATAAACTTCAAAAATTGAGAATTTGTTGCAGCTTCAACGTTGTTTCAACGTTGAATATCGACAAGCATTCAACGTTAAAAGTATGTTGCAGCTTCAACGTTGTTTCAACGTTGAAATATCAACGAACATCAAAAGTTGAATATATGTTGCAGCTTCAACGTTGTTTCAACGTTGAAATATCGACGAACATTAAACGTTGAAAATATGTTGCAGCTTCAACGTTGTTTCAACGTTGAAATATCGACGAACATTCAACGTTGAAAATATGTTGCAGCTTCAACGTTGTTTCAACGTTTAAAAAAGGTTGAGGATTCAACGTTGAAACCTCAACGTTGAAACAACGTTGAAATATAGTTGATCAACGTTGCAACCTATATTCCACCTCCTTTCAACATTGAAGCAACGTTGCGTGCCTGCTGGGAAGGTATAATTTCAGTTCAGTATTTTCACAAGAAGCCAATTATTGATAAGCCAGAAGGCAATTATTGGTTTTGGATTTGATTTCATTAGCACCACCTGTTTTAATATACAAAGATCAGGCCAATTAAGGTGATGTATTTAACAATGGCAATATTCTTTTGTCTTAAGTATTGTGATCAGACATCTTAACCTGATAAGCATGATATAAGCTCATATATTTCATTCAAGATACATAATAGTGAGTAAATTTTATTGCATTGATTATCCTGTATTTAACAAAACAGTGGAAAAACCCTAGGTATAAGATCCCTGTGTAGAAACATTAATAAATAAACCCATTGGAATTTTACCAGCAGCCTCAGTCAGGGAATAAATGTAGGAAAATACAAAACTATTGTTATTAATGAATTAGAAATTAAAGCATTTGTCAAATTTTTCCACTAATTATTTTAGATTCATGCCATTTAAACATATCATTAATTTAGAATCAACAGGCAAAATTCTATTTGTCAGCCAAAGGCTTATATGTATGACAAAAGTTAAAATGATACAGATTAATTGAACAGTACTTTTAGGTGGTAACTGGTTCAGTGTATAATGGATTAAACCTTTATTAACAAGAAAGTGCTTCCTTCTGATCACACTTTCAATTTGGTGAATTAAGAAAATTTTTAATTTGTTTTATTCTCCATACCTTTTAGGAAAGTGATATACAGTACGGTTTAATTGTAATTTAGGAATAATGCACTGTCAGACAAGGTCAACACAATAATTTTATTTTTTTTTAACTACAGGGATAATTAAAATACATGTCATGTAATCATGTATTCTTGCAAGCCAGTTTGATAGGGGAAAGGGGTTTTGCTCTATGTATTAGCCATTTATTATTAATATTTGTCCTGTTTCTGTTACATTTCTAGGTAGTGAAGTTAATCTATTATTTTAATAGATATAGATCTGTAATTGTCATTAAGTCAGCTTTTAAAAAGTGATATATTCCTGGTGCATATAATTAATAGCCATTCTCTGTAAGCATTTAAACTCTTATATAGGGAGTGTGGCACGCATGGTCTTGGATTTTCATGAAACTTGGCATACATTCCTATATTGATGTATGTACCTAAAATTCATAATAAAATGGTTGCTATGGTCCATGTTTACCATGACAACCAACATACATTTTTCATGGCCTAAAAATCGTTAAATTTTGATGAAAATGACCCTTTTTGACTTATTAAAAGTCTTTAATGGAATAAGCTATTAACATGACTTTACCTTTTTGCCAAAAAACATCATTTTACAGTGCTTTAGAAAATTTTAGGTATTTCAGTAACTTTTTCCTCATAGGAAAAATATCCATCGTTTATAGGTAGGATTTTTCTTGTGGAAAATTGTAGATTTTAAGCTCTTTTGAAAAGCCTGTTATAAATTTTTGCGGATGGTTTGGAAAAAATGAATACATTGATTTGAAAGTCCACATATAGTTCTAATATAAACTACAGAGAACTACTTGGTTTTCATATTTAGTTTTCATGTTACCATGGTTACAAACTTATGCTTTTTTTAAAAATCCTAGAAAAGTACAATACGTAGATACAATCAGGATCCATATAATTGCCTGATTATTTTAAAATGGACTAAAACAAATTTAGATATATGGTAAACAATAGCAAAAACAAAGAGAAAAAAAATCAATTTTCATGACTAAGGGTCAAGGTCAAGGTCAAAATGGCAGATTTTGATAGATATTTAAGAAAGCTAAACAACATTTTTTCTGTGTCATAACTAATACTTGCGTTTTAAACAACAAATGAAGAAACAAAATTACAGTTCTGGTCAACAATAACTAGCATCATATGAATGTGTGCCCAGATGGACAGAAGGTCAAAGTTCAAGGTCACAATGGTATATAAAGAACTATGCACGCTACCTCTCAGTTCCCGCCTACATTTTGCGACCATTTTACTCAATATTAATGGCAATTTTTGTTTAATACAAAAAACAGTTCAATGGTATTTGATTCATTATTTTAATACCAGTGCTAAATAGTACATTATCCCTTATTCCAACTCTTGAAATGAGGGGGTGGGGGTGGGGGGAGGAACCGATGATATTTTCCATTGAAATCGGACTTTCAAGCATCACCATATTTTGAAAAAATCTTGGATGTAATTAAATGTTATGTAGATTTTTTCTCATGTTTTACTGTTACGGTTTTTCCCCCACAACCAAAATAAGCCCCACATTGGATCAGCCCAATTTATGTCCTGTATAATTAATATTTATGTCATAAATGTATTTCTAGATATCATGGGAATATTACCAATCATTGTATGTTATTTATGTATGCTTTATAATTCATTATTTATATTCATTTCACAAATATTATTTGTTTCACTGTAAAAACCCGAATTTCCTCCAGGGATCGTAATAACCAATGGCTGTCTGGCATCGGTAGTCTACTAAGTTACTCATATCTAACCCAGCATCGTTTCCAAAACAAATTCCAAACAACTACTTACCCATTTTCCCGCCACCATAAGGCTTAAAATCCTTTACTTATATAATCAGTGCAAAGTCGAACTTCACAGTTATGGCGCCAAAGCAAACGGTACCGTTTGTTATTCGCTCGAGAAGTTATTCGCACCATTATACAAAAAGGTATATAAAGAGGGGTTTTTGTACAGACAAGACAGTTGTGTCCACAGCTCATCCCTGACCAGACCGTCTGATATGACTGATAATCTGCCCCAACGAATGGTAAATATATCCAACGTTTGTATTTAATATTTTGTTAACTTGTACTATAATTGGGTAAGAATCTGATGCCATTCACATTGGGTAAAACGATCTATGGGTGACCCAATCCGATATATATATATATATTTCCTAACCCAACCATAATCAGCTGAACAGTTTGTCCCATTGTTGATATTGTGGAACCCTATCAGCTGGCCCATATATTTCCTAACCCAACCATAATCAGCTGAACAGATTGTCCCATTGTTGATATTGTGGAACCCTATCAGCTGATCCTTATATATATCCTGACCCAACCATAATCAGCTGAACAGATTGTCCCATTGTTGATATTGTGGAACCCAATCAGCTGATCCATATATATATATCCTGACCCATTATTCGTAAGTATACTCTGTTTGTATTTTATAAATCATAAATCATTATTGTCATTGAATAAATTCATTTTATAGATAAACAAATCTTGTTGATTAATCGAGGTAAATCTCAGGAATAAGAGGACCCACATAATTATTGTAACAACCAAGATCGGGTCACGTTAGAACTGGTGTCAGAAGTGGGATATCCATTTGCTAATTTCTGTTTACCAAAATTTTTGTATTATAAAGACAAAATAATTTTTAAATTTTTGTATATTTTTATTGATCCAATCAATTTTTGTATCCGATATTCACAATGGAGACTGAAGATAGTTTTGAAGTCACTTTTAAATCACGTCCTGCTTCACCCAGTGCTAAGGCGGACAGTAGGGATAAATTACCCACTCCCAATCTCCAATCTTCTCCAATGGCATCAGATTCAGTACCGCCTGCAAAGAACAATCAATTGGACACATTAGTGTCTATGGTGCAAAGTGTTAACCAACAGCTGTTGGGTATGAGACATGAGTATCATGAATTAAGAGACCATGTTAATCATTTAGAAAGAAAATTTGAAAACCCAACCTATGACAGGGGAGACAATCATCACTCAGACAGTGTCTCAAAATCCAGACCCATTCACCCAGTACACTCTTATGATGATTTCCATCCCAATATTCATACAGACCCAACAAAAGGGCAAAGGGAATATACACGTCACCCAGCAACAATGTTGGGTACCCATTATGCTCCCTCATTCGAAATAAACAGAAATGAAAATGGTATGCCACTCCCGTCTGCAGCCAAAACTCATGTTACTATAAAACCTCAAACTTTCGATGGATTAGAGGACTTTGACGAGTACCTCGCTCAGTTTGAAATTTTAGTCGATTTGCATGGGTGGGATTACAAAACTAAATCTCTATACCTAGCTAGTAGTCTGACAGGGAGTGCCCGGGCTCTATTAAACGAGTTAAACGAAAATCAGAGAAGGGATTTTAATGCTCTTGTGAAAATTTTGACTAGGAGATATGGCTCCATCGAGAGATCAGAAATGTTCCGGGCCCAACTTAAAACCAAATCTAGGGGAACCAATGAGTCCTTACCCGAATTGGCCCAATCCATAAAAAAACTGACTCGTCAGGCTTACCCAACAGCCGACCCAACCATTATCAGCATTCTGGCACTCGACCAATTTATTGATGCCCTACCCGATCCAGAAATGCGATTAAGGTTAAGGGAAGCTAAGCCCAAAGATATAAACGAAGCCGAAATTTTGGCTATTCGGCTAGAAACCTATAGACTGGCAGACGCACAGAGAAACAAAACCATCCACGCCATAAGCGAGTCAGAACCCATTCAAAACTTGCGGGATGACTTACAATCTCTTACCAGAGAGATCAAAGCCCTGGTAAAAAACGCCCATTCTCCTATACATAATTATGCACAACCTTATTATGTAAAAAATCCAAACAAGAGCTTCTATAAAAATCAAACCAATCCCAACTACCAAAACCATGGACCCACACACTATGGACCCAAACCCCAGGGCGCACCCAACCAGATAAATTCTAACAATGGGAACGGTCACCCAAAGAACCCAAAACACGGTCCTACCCAACCTCAGAAACAGGGAAACTACCCACAGTCGAATTCGGGGGTCGGAAGTCGACGGATCCAAGGGGCAGGCCCCAAAACTCACCAGTAAATATGACCCAACCACTCCCACTAAAATCTGAACCCAATATTATTACAGAAAAAGATAAGTATAAAGGAGAGATGCCTTATTGTAATGTTCCTACCCCCAAAGAAATTTTAGTGGGAGATATAAAAGGGGGAAATGATGGAATTTATCTGATTGGGAAAGTGGGAAATAAAAAGACAAATTTACTGGTTGATACGGGTGCTAGTGTGACAATAATCAGTACCCAATTCTTTGAGACATTAGACGCAATGGAAAAGCCCCAAATTACCCCAGTGTCCATCAAACTTACATCTGCAAGTGGTAATGCAATCCCAGTTAAGGGAGAATGCCCAATCAAAATATCCCTTGACAATTTTCATGTTACCCATAAAGTGCTTGTGGCCGATATTCAAAACCCATGCATATTGGGACTAGATTTTATGACCCAGAATTCATGTGACCTTTTTGTAAAAAAGATGAAACTAAAGGTACAGGGTTTAGACATTCCCTGCTTTAGCAAATCTTGTGTTAGAAATATGTGTTGTAGCAAGATAAGTCTTGCTGAGGATATTGAGATTCCTCCCAGTTGTGAGTATATTGCTCCAGCTAAGTTAGATAACCCTTTGATGACGGATGAGGTTGGAATATTAGAACCTATCCAAAGTTTTGTGGAGAAATATGAACTGTTGATTCCCCAAACCCTTGTAACTGTAGACCAAAAAGTCGCAGTGCGTTACATGAATTTGAAAGATGAAAGTATTAAACTTTTTAAAAATACCCAAGTCGCCACAGTGAATGGTGTTGACAAAATATTAGATAAATGGGAAGAAACAACCAACACCCATAATCTTAATGCTATAAGCCCAGATTTCAACACCCAATTGCCCGACCACTTGCAATGTATCATGGAAAAGGTCCCTACAGAAATTACTACTGAACAAAAACAAACATTGGAAAACCTCCTTATTGAATTCCAAAATAGCTTTTCCATTGCTTCTACGGATATGGGTCTTACTGATATTGTAGAACACAAAATAAATACTGGGAATGCTCGCCCCATTAAACAACCCCCCAGAAGAATACCTTTAGCAAAAATGGGTGAGGTAGAGAAAGAAATTGAAGATATGTTAAATAAGAAAGTAATTGAAACTTCTGATAGCCCTTGGAGTTCCCCAATTGTTTTAGTTAGGAAAAAGGACGGGTCCATTAGATTTTGTATTGATTACAGAAAATTAAATGATATAACCCTTAAAGATAGTTACCCGATCCCCAGGATAGATACTACATTGGATGCCCTGGCAGGATCCAAATGGTTCTCTACAATCGACTTAAAAAGTGGCTATTGGCAAGTTAAGATGTCCCAGGAAGATAAGCCCAAAACAGCGTTTTCCATACCTGGTGGGGGTCATTGGCAGTTCCTGAGTATGTCCTTTGGTCTGTGTAATACAGGCGCCACTTTTGAAAGACTAATGGAAAAGGTCCTCTCTAACTTGTCATGGAAAATATGTATGGTTTATTTGGATGATATAATCATTCTCTCCAAAACCTTTGACGAGCATATAATCAATTTGAAACAAGTTTTCAATAGGTTAAGATCAGCTAATCTAAAAATGAACCCTAAAAAGTGCTGTCTACTCCAAAAACAAGTTTCATTTCTTGGACATGTTGTAGATGAAAATGGAATTTCCACAGACCCTTCCAAAATTGATTCGGTTCAAAATTGGCCAGTCCCAACCTCAGTTAAAGATATAAGATGTTTTCTCGGTCTTTGCTCCTATTATAGGAAATTTGTTTACAAATTTGCCGATATTGCCAAACCCCTCCATAAGCTGACGGAATTAAAACAAGAGTTCCGTTGGGACGAAAACTGTCAAGAAGCTTTCGACAAGCTCAAAAGATCCCTTACGAGTTCCCCGATCCTGGCCTACCCAAATAACGAAGGATTGTTTATCCTAGACACTGATGCCTCTAACAATGGGTTAGGAGCAGTACTCTCCCAACAACAAAATGGTGTAGAAAAAGTAATTTGCTATTATAGTAAAATATTCAGCGCTACTGAAAGAAGGTATTGTGTCACCCGCAGGGAACTCTTAGCCATTGTAAAATCTATTAAGCATTTCCACCATTATTTGTATGGCAGATCTTTTAAAGTTAGGACAGATCACGGGTCGCTTACCTGGCTTCTAAACTTCAAAAACCCGGAAGGTCAGATCGCCCGTTGGTTTGAATTATTATCCCAATATGAGTTCCAAGTAGAACATAGGGCGGGTAAATCTCACAATAATGCTGATGCTCTATCCAGGAGACCTTGTCCAATTAACTGTAAACACTGCATAAAGCAGAAGAAAAATATGAAGTTGAATTTAACTCCCTCATGTGTTCTTCAGTAACGACAAGAACCCAAACGCAAACCAAAATATTTACCCTCAACAAAGCTCCTCTCCTACTGATATGATTGACATTAGAGAATGTCAAAGTCAAGACCCAATTCTCAAGACTGTTATAGCCTGGGTAAAATCCAATGAAAAACCAAAATGGGAAGAAATATCACATCTTAGTGAAGCTCATAAATATTATTGGGTTAGATACGATTCCCTAAAATTTTTACAAGGTATACTCTATCATATTTGGGAAGATGTCCAACCTAAATATCAAATAGTCCTACCCCAATCCTTAAAAAACCTAGTATTTCAACAACTACATAGTAGTGTTACAGGGGGCCACTTGGGTATCCGCAAAACTTTGTACAAGGTCAGAGACCGATACTTCTGGTATCACATGACAGAAGATATCAAAATTCTGTGCAGGAAATGTGATACTTGTGAATCAAGAAAATCCCCTAACATATTACCCAAAGCACCCTTACAAAGATATATAGTAGGAGCACCTATGGAAAGATTAGCCGTAGATATAATGGGTCCACTTCCCCTTACCAAGAAAAAGAACTCTTATCTTCTGGTAGTGGGTGACTATTTTACTAAATGGGTGGATGCCTTCCCAATTAAAAATCAGAAAGCCCAAACGATAGCCCATAAGCTGATTGAAAGGGTAATATCTATTTTTGGGGTACCCATGGAAATACACTCCGATCAGGGAAGATCGTTCGAATCCAATATATTCCAAGAATTATGTAACATTATGGGCATTGTCAAAACGCGTACAACACCTTATAGACCCCAATCTGACGGCATGGTGGAACGGTCTAACCGTACCATTGAAAATATGCTATCCACTTTTGTAAATAAAAACCAACAAGATTGGGACGAATACATACCCCTCCTTATGATGGCCCTTAGATCCTCAGTCCATGAAGCAACTGGAGTCAGCCCATGTGAAATGGTTTTTGGGAGACCCATCCATCTACCAATCGACCTTGTCCTTGGCTCTCCAAACCCTGAAATCAATAGACAAACATATAGAACAGAATTCTCTAATCAATTAACAAACAAGTTAGAGACTATCCATGATTTTGCTCGTAATAAACTCCAATTATCTTCCAAACATACGATCAGAGAATACAGTAAGAAAGTGCACCAACATTTATACAAACCCGGTGATGCTGTCTGGTTCTATTCTCCCAAATACGAAAAGCATGGCAGAAAATTATGTAGACCATGGACGGGTCCATATGTCATTACAAGGAGAATTAATGATGTAATTTACAAGATACAGAAGTCCCAGAGACACAAAGCCAAAACTGTCCACCATAACCTACTAAAACCCTACAAGGGAGAGAACCCACCTACTCTATCCCAATAAATTATTTGTGATGATTATTCTCCCCTGAACCCATATATTATTATATGATCCAATAACCTCTTACCCAATCCTTTATCTCCTGATTTTTATCAAATTGCAGGTTCAAAACCACAGATGTGTGATATGCGATAGGGAATTTGCATTGGCCAGTCATTGTCATAGGCACATCACCACGGCCCATAGTGGTTTTGGACACAAATGCTCCTCATGTAAAATGATATTAGGAAGACCAGACCAGAAACATGGCTGCCACGGATACACCCTTCAGCTAGTTAAAAGAACCACCGGTACCTTTAATGGAGACGAAGCGTTGGAATTTGAATCATTCCAAAAGTCAAGGGCCAAGTTTTGCGAACCATTCATGAAACCATCCATGAGTAATCGGGGAAACCTCAATCTGTCTAGCTCCAAACGTGTCACCAAGATGACAGATCCCATCATCCCAAAGAAGAAAAAATACTACGGGATGCCTCCAAATAAAGCCCCAACTAGACCCATCCCGGCATTAATGGACATCGACATATCCGCTCCGATAAATTCAGGAGATTCTTCATTCCATTGCCATTCAGTAAACTCTCCAACCACGATTGCAGAACCTTCCCAACCAAACTCTACCTCCCAGAGTACAGATGATACCACATCCGACAAGATTTCAGAGTCGACTAACATAACTGATGATCCTTTTCTAAGACCTCAGTCACCAAAACAAGGAAATGATGTACCCGTTGACGTCGCCCGAGACCTGGCTATCTCAGAATCCCATAAGTCTATCTACGATAAAACCACAATCGTGTCTAAGGATGAGGACCAGTTGTCCATTTTCACCGACGGCATCATAGATCCCGAGGAATACTCCGTCTCCGACTCAGCTCCTCCTGCCTTGAATTATCAACCTACTAGCAAAAAGATGCTAAAGCTAAAAGGAATTCGGGAAGCAGAGATAATAACCATAAACGTTGGAGGAGAACTCTTCACTACTTCTAAACAGACTTTACGTGCTGATCCATCCTCAATTCTGGCTGCTCTAGTGTCGGAGGACTCCTACAAGCGACCTTCAGTACCGTTCGATTTCTTTTTGGATCGCGACCCTAAGCACTACAATTTTATTTTTAACTTCCTGAGAAACGGATGTGCCACAAACCATCTGGAATTTCCAAAGAACGTCATTCTCCTTCGAGAGCTCCATCAAGAAAGTGTTTTTCTGGACCTAGACGACCTATCAAAGATCATTCAGCGATACCTCGGTGAACTTTCTTGGTTACAGTGACTCACTTTGTGACCCGTTTTGTAAGTATGCCAAAGCCTGCCGAGATTTGTGATACGTGAATTGTGATACATTGAAAGTGATGAACGTTGTTAATGTTATATTTATGAACTTGTTAACATTTCTTGTTATACCCAACTTATGGACTCTATTATTATTGTTGATATTTATTATTTAATGTTTATATGTCAAATTGTTATATTTATGCTATTACATCCCATTATTAAATATCTTACACTAACTCATTGACTATGTTTTTCTTACATGGCGATATTCCCATGAAAACTAGTCAAAGAAAATGGGTTTTGATGTAATGTGATCCAACATTCGGGACGAATGTTTTCATGGAGGGGGAGCTGTGTTACGGTTTTTCCCCCACAACCAAAATAAGCCCCACATTGGATCAGCCCAATTTATGTCCTGTATAATTAATATTTATGTCATAAATGTATTTCTAGATATCATGGGAATATTACCAATCATTGTATGTTATTTATGTATGCTTTATAATTCATTATTTATATTCATTTCACAAATATTATTTGTTTCACTGTAAAAACCCGAATTTCCTCCAGGGATCGTAATAACCAATGGCTGTCTGGCATCGGTAGTCTACTAAGTTACTCATATCTAACCCAGCATCGTTTCCAAAACAAATTCCAAACAACTACTTACCCATTTTCCCGCCACCATAAGGCTTAAAATCCTTTACTTATATAATCAGTGCAAAGTCGAACTTCACAGTTATGGCGCCAAAGCAAACGGTACCGTTTGTTATTCGCTCGAGAAGTTATTCGCACCATTATACAAAAAGGTATATAAAGAGGGGTTTTTGTACAGACAAGACAGTTGTGTCCACAGCTCATCCCTGACCAGACCGTCTGATATGACTGATAATCTGCCCCAACGAATGGTAAATATATCCAACGTTTGTATTTAATATTTTGTTAACTTGTACTATAATTGGGTAAGAATCTGATGCCATTCACATTGGGTAAAACGATCTATGGGTGACCCAATCCGATATATATATATATATTTCCTAACCCAACCATAATCAGCTGAACAGTTTGTCCCATTGTTGATATTGTGGAACCCTATCAGCTGACCCATATATTTCCTAACCCAACCATAATCAGCTGAACAGATTGTCCCATTGTTGATATTGTGGAACCCTATCAGCTGACCCATATATTTCCTAACCCAACCATAATCAGCTGAACAGATTGTCCCATTGTTGATATTGTGGAACCCTATCAGCTGACCCATATATATATCCTGACCCAACCGTAATCAGCTGAGCAGATTATCCCATTGTTGATATTGTGGAACCCTATCAGCTGACCCATATATATATCCTGACCCATTATCCGTAAGTATACTTTGTTTGTATTTTATAAATCATAAATCATTATTGTTATTGTTTGAATAAATTCATTTTTATAGATAAACAATTCTTGTTGATTAATCGAGGTAAATCTCAGGAATAAGAGGACCCACATAATTATTGTAACACCCAAGATCGGGTCACGTTACATTACGCAAATAAGTAAAACATACTAGTATATATATTAATAAAATACACAGTTTTAGCTGTAAATCACTTTGAAATTTGGGAGAAAATAGGCATTTATTTTCGTTTTTTTTTGTCTATAAAAATACCCCCCCCCCTGTCTGTTTTAACATTTTAGTATCATGGGATATCTTAAGAAGCCTACGATCTTTTTCAATTTGAGTTTATACCACAACTTGCTTTGGCTTAAAAAGACCCATATTTATTTCTAGGTTAAAAGGTCAAGGTAAAAAAAGACAGTGTTTGTACGTAAACCTCTCCGAGCGATATCTCAAAAGCGCGTGCGTTAGCTTTTTTAAAATTATAACTCTCTATGATCCCGCCCGCCCCTCTTTAAATGCCCCATCCCCTACCCCACCACCCTCCGAACCCCCCCCCCCTCGTCTTAATGTACACAAATTCTTATCTCCTTAAGCAGGGGACACATGCCTTTGAATTACCTTCTTAATAATGCATTTTTACTCGGTTATTTGGAATACTGGTATTGTAAATGTTGTATCCCTTATATTGAATGTATTTTATTGAAACTGGTATAACATTCTCCCTTTAGCTTGATGCATCATGTGAAAATGCTTATATAAGTACAGTTTTCAGGTTCTATTTATATAAAGGTAGGCAATTAATAATATTGAACGATTATACACTTTCCATATTGAATGCAAGACTTCTTGTATGTAGACAATTGCGCTACAAGCATGTAAAGACACTCTTATGTTGTTTTAGTAAACTAATTCCTTGCTCCTAAATGTACATTTTTAAAACCATATTTAACAATCTGAACTTTTCAAGTGACAGTCAAAATGTGTTTTCCAGTGACTTTTTTTTCAGAGAAGTTGACGGAAAAATCTAATTTACTTTGAAATATCATTCTTTAAAAAAATGAGATTTTAGCGATGTTGATGGTAAATATTTCAACACAAATATGCCTGGATCAACGCAAAAGATCTAGCTGATATTTCCAAAGTTTAATCAATAATAATCTGTTGTAAAAATCAATTTGATTCACAGACAATTTATATTTCTATGCAACTACCCCAATCATCAAAAGTATATTTTTGACTGGTTAACAAAACATTTTATTTTTGTTTATCCTGTTTAAAAACTACATAATATGACTTCGTTTACTATGGGTTAGGGGACGACCTTTGATCCAGAAAGGGGGGATTAAGTTAGGTTTATCTTCATGGAAGGACATATCATTTATTTAGAGAAAATTATTAATTTTGCTCTTCACAGAAAAAAGTCTGAAGAGCAAAGAAAAAAACAATAATAAATAAAATGCCCAAACTCTTTTTCGTTTGAGAAGAAGGGGGGGGGGGCTTGTGTAGGTAACAATTTTCTAACCCATATATATAATACGTATTATACCATGGGTTTCAAAAAATATTGCTGAAATAACGACCTGTGGATGGGAATTGTAGCTATTATTCAGTATATATTTTTTCCTTTCAGCCAAGGACATATTTAGTTTAAAAAAAATATTAGTCTCTATAATAACATTCAGTTTAAAAAATCATTTGCTTTCTAACGCCGTATTCATTGCAGTCCTCCAGTATTTCACTCTGACTGATCGTAAGACACAGTAATTCTTTAAAAAAAAATCATAATACTAGTAATTCTGATATTTCAAGTTTATCTTGAATCCTGTTTAGGAACTCCTTAGACATTGAGACTAATGCTTGTACATTTCACCATTTTTCACCTATCAAAATTATTCTTTTGGATGTAGGATGTAAACAGAGGCTAAAATTTGTATGCACATTAAATAAACAGGAAAAAGCAGTTGAGTTTACTCGAATTCCAGGATATACAGAGCTATATTATGAAAATATGTAAACAACTTCCATTCATTTTTGTACAATGATTTTATTTATCTTTCTCACTGAAGAGCTCATTATTATCAAAGGGAGATAATTCAATTTCAAAGTTAATGTCTGCTATGTTAATCAAAGAATTCTCATATTTATAGAATACCAATAAGGTTTAAACATGCCTTTTAAAGTTAGATGTTATATTTCTTATTTCTGTGAGTAACATGAATTGAAGTAGCCGCATTTCATTAAAAAACTTTCCCAAATATTGCACTTTTTTTTAAAGAAAAAATCAACTTTAGACACCGTTTCCATGGTAACTACTTAACATTCATATGATCTAACTATATTTTTTGGAGTAGTTTATGAGGTGGTACTTTCCAGCCAAATTTGAAAAAAATCTGTGACTATGCATGCCACAAAAGTTTAAGTGGTTACAGAGAATGGGTATTAAGTAGCTGAAAGATACAGTTTATGATGTGCAGGCTGCTCAGTTATACAGATTAGTTTGGTTGAAGAAGCAATATATTAGAATAGAGTTAAGAACTCATGAAAATAGATTTAAAATATGATGAGAAGGATCATTTTCTGTTTTATTATAAGCATTTAAAAGATGGCATATCAAGTATTATTATCAAGTATAATTTCAAGATCCCATTTTGAGTCATTGTATGGAGTTACATACTTGTGGGCACTATAAGCCTGGAGAGTTAATTTTCTTAAAAGCTTACCTATAATAATACAATTAACATGATTTATATCCAAAGAAATATTACACGGTAAGTAAAGTAGGTTTTGTCTAGTACAGCGTTGCTTGAAGCCAGCCAGGATAAATTCATACATGCTACTGTTGAAATGAGAGGGGTTGATCAGGATCAGCCATTTTTATGAGGGGATAATATTTTGTCTCCACATAAATTTTTTCTTCATCTTTAAAATTTATCATTTTGCTATAAAATAATCCAATGTAAGGAGTTATGTCCAAGACACGATGTAGTTACGATATCGACACATTAATTTTTTATAGTTTACTATAATAGTTCTATATTCTCATGTGTTTATTACAATACTTTCTGTTTTAATACTATCTCCTTACTGTTAATATCCTCGATATCGTGCCGATATCAAATCATGATTGCTCCAAAAATTGTGGTTTCCATCCTTAATATGGTGTTTTTAAGAACTGTTACTTAAAAATTTCTTTATAAATCTTTCCCTGATGTGTCGATATCGTCGATATCGACGATATCGCTTCGATATCGAATCATGTTTGCTAAACCCTTGGTAAATACCTTCCCTGTTTCTTTGAATATGTTTATGTTTAAATACTTTACTTTAACGAAGATATTACCTGCCATCGATATCGACGATATCGTATCGGTATCGAATCATGATAGTTAAGAGCATATTACGTTACAAATCTTCACCCTAATACAAAATCTTTATTTTTACATCACTTCTGTGTTTAACAAGTTTACCTTACTGTCGATATCGACGATATCGTATCGATATCGAATTATGATTGTTAAAACATTTTTACGAATTTTCACCCTAATCCAACATCTTACTCTAAATCTAATCTAAAACAATAACAACCCTAGAAATTTCTTTATCATATAAATTTATTTTTATATTCATGCCAATCAGGAATCAATTTTGACTTCACTTGTGACTAAAATTTTGTTATACCTCAATGTGAAAATAAATTGTGCAAAAAGAATCGATATCGATACGATATCGTCATGATAATGTCGATATCGACGACATCGACATAATATAGAGTCTCAAATACGGCACCAGGTATTTCCAATTCATAGTGCTGATTAAGATCGATATCGATACGATATCGACATAATATTGTCGATATCGTCGATATCGACATCGGATGTATTCTTGGACATGTATGAATGTAAGCTAATATAAAAATTTTTGCTTAAGTTCTCATATCTTTACACATTTAAAAACATCAAATGAATCAAAATTTACAGTCTACTTGTTATACATGTACAGAAGTATTAAATTTAGGAGGGATGGGGGGTCTCGAGTTATTTTCAAGGGGATTATTACAGTTTCCCCAGTAAATAGGTTAAAATTAGGGCGGTTGGTCGTGGGTCAGTTGAATGCGGCTTCCCCATTTTATGGGTGACCGAAACCTATGGATTCCAAAGGTTTCGGTCATGTGGCGTTTGCGCCGAGCCATTCAACTGATGCTATAATTCATTGTGCTGCTGTTGCTTAAAACAAACTCATTTACTGTGAAAATGTGTGCTGCTTTCAACAAATTCATGAATTGGTCTGCTTTGCTTACTTGAAACAAACTCAGTGCAAGATGTGTACTGCTTTCAACAAATTTCATGCACAGTGCTTTGCTTGCTAAAATATCTTATGTAACATTCGCGGTTTGATAACCCGGAACGATAACTACCACATACATATAAACTTGTAAAGTTTATTTAAAATACATGTACATAAAATTTTATTGTAAGGTTAATTACCGTTCGCGGTATACCCGGAACGGCCATTATTTTTACTTATTATATGTACATGTGATATTATGCTTTCATGTTGTTTGCTGCTGCTGCTGCTTGTTGTTATTTGGGATCGCCCTTTTACGCTTGGCGACCCCCTGCTGCTTTTAAATATGCCACGACCAACAAACGCCAATAT